AGTGGCAGGCCGTATGGGGCGACATCGGACAATGTAGCATGCACAAACGCCCACCGGGTCAAGTACAGGAAGACACGCGGACACATATCCATGCTTTCGGACAGATGGCGCGCCGCAGTGGCCAGAAGCTTACAACGTGGCACCCACCCCAACATGGGCTCGGGCACAGTTCTCCTTTGAGCCGAAAGTCGAGTACCACATCGGGCAAAAGGGGCTTCAGACAGAAGCAGCAAAACTGAAAAAAGAAAAAAGGAAAAAAAAAAACAAAAAAAAACGAAGAAAGCAGCTCATCGGCCCCTATACAAGGGCGACGGTTCTCTTCAGACGCGGATGAGCTTGACCGGGTCTCTCTGCAGTGTCCCAGTTGCCCGAGTCCTTTTCTGCGGATGTTGTGGGCAGACGCATTCTGTGCTCAGGTGGCCATATGCTCTGCAGTTATGGCACCACGGTCTCAGTTTGTGTGCTGTGTGGATCATATACTCTTTCCCCCCTACCTGATACGGGATCACGTCTTCAAGGGAAAATGGTTGGCCCTAGGGGAAATCCAGGGCCAACATTAAGTAATCATCCCTCTTGGCCACAAAGGAGGGGAGAGGGTCTATGAATGCAACAATGTCATACATCAATCCGAAATCATACACAAATGCCGCTTGAATTTCGACCGGGATGTGGCGAAATTCTACCCAATGGAAGTCTTGCATCAGCTGTGCCCTCCTTTCTTCCGGTCCCAATCTGCGCTGTGGCACCCATGGGTAGATCCGAACCTCCGACCGTTCGCAGCGAAGGCATTTCCATCCGTCAATCGCAATCTTATCCGCTTCGTGCATGCAGAGGATTGTGAACAGAGTGTTGGAGACTGGTTGGATCAGAAACTGGTCGCGGGCCAAGTCCGCACTTTTTTTCAATGCCTCCAGCCTGTGGCCTATCCATTTGACTTTGTCGTTGACCGATTTGAAGGCCGCGTCATCATGGAACACCCAGTTATTGGCGTGTTTCGTGTAGATTTCATCCCGGCACACAATGCCATTTTTGGGGTAGGCCTTAACCATGACTTGCTTTCCGCCTTGCGTTACCACTTTTGTTTCTAATGGACGCAAGAATTTCGTCATGAAAAAGGCCCGTGCTGAAGGTAGCCCCTCCAAAGGGATATCGAGATTCCCTGTTCGTGGGCTTCCTTGGCCACGCTGAATGGTGATCGTTTGACTCCGTTGCGGACTTCGGAGCTTGTCTGCCCATGTGGGTTTTGGCTGGTCACTGCTCAGTGCCTGGGCGGGGGAGGGATTCTTCCCCTTGTGTAATGTCTGGCCCCGAGACTCCATTTCTTTCTCTTCTTCTGTCAAGACCTCTGTGTCTTCCATCTGCTGTATTTCTTTATTCAGACATTTCGCCTCTTGCGGGGGTACAGGGGGGCTGGTGTTTTCAGGGAATTGTTCTGGTGTGACCAGCGTTTGAGCAGGAGTTGTTCGTCAGCCAGCTGCCTCATAGCCCCGCTATAAAATAGCATCGAGTCCAGACGCTTGTGTGCTCGCTGTAGCCTGCTGGTCGTTCTCATGATGTTGTGGCGGTCTTCTGCCTTCTTGCTACTAATTTTGTTGGCTTATGATCTGTTTTTTTTCTGTTTCCAATTTTCTTTTGCTCGGGTTTATATCGTTCAACTTTTTTTGTGAATGCCCAGGTTTGTTTGTTGTTCTATGTTTCTTGTTTTCTGTTGAATTCTTTTTTTTCTTTTTATTTCTTTTTTATTTCTTTTTTATTTCTTTTTTATTTCTTTTTTATTTCTTTTTTATTTCTTTTTTATTTCTTTATTGTTTGTGTTTCTTGACCGTCCAAGTTCAGCAGATTCCGGGGGCTGGTCGGGCTCTAGCAGATTCCGGGGGCTGGTTGGGCTTCTCCAGAGGGCTTTGTCTCCGCCTTCGATCGTGCTTCAATCCCAACTTACATTGTTACTGTGGCGGATCCACCAGGTGTGGTGCTCCGCTAGTGACAGAGATGGAGATGGAGGAAGAAGGGGGAGCAAGATGGCACAACGCAGCTCCCCACGCAAGACTCCAACGCACGTACTCCAAAATGTGCAAGTGAGGAATGAGCCTGAAAATAGACAATGGCTGGGGTATACCCCAGCGGACTGACGGGACTG